AACCTGGCACACTGGAATAAAAGTACATGGGTTTTACAATTCTTCAGGCCTATAGTCAAATGCCAGCTTCATCACTTCCTAGTTAGGTAGCCTTGGAAAAAATACTGAAACTTTCTGAACTTGTAGCATATTTAACTGTAAAATGAACAAATAAATACTAACTCTGCAAATTACAAAGATTAAATGAAAAGCAAATGAGAACACTCCCTTCTCTCTTGACCCAAAGATTCAGTTTATCTAGAGCATCCATTCTACTCATTAGCCAGGTTCAGAAATAGTCCTTGGCTGCTCAGCTGTATCCTTAAAGTTTAAAATATCAAGTATATGCAATAAAGCATATACTTTATAGTGGCACATTAAGTTGGATGCTATCTATGGCCATGGTGACAAATCTATGCCAACTGGCTTGCATTTCCTCGTGGTGTGCATCTGCCTCATGCTCAGTCGGGTGGACTAAGACCCTGTAAGTCGCCTTTCACTGTCAGCTCTACAGATCTACATCATGTAGTATTCCATTTAATTCTTGACTGATGGTTCACCCTTAATGACAAAATTTCTGGCTATACACTGAGTCACTGTGTTCTAGGCCAGGCTACACAATGAGTCCATGATAGTTTTTCTAGTTTACAACTGAGAGAAAGGAACACAATACACCATTAACAGTTTGAATTATTCTTCCCTAAATAAATCACCCTGAAACTTCCCCAACTGTGTTAGTCAGCTTGGATCACCGTAACAAAATACCAGATTGAACGGCTTAAACAATGGAAATGTATTTTCCCATAGGTCTGGAGGCTAGAAGTCTGAGATCAAGATGCTAGCCTAGGTATTTTCTGGCAAGGGCTCTCTTCCTGATTTCCAAATGATCACCTTCTTGCTTTTTTCTTCCAAGGCCTTTCATCAGAGTGTGTGGACACAGTAGGGAGAGCAAGTGAGCAAGCTCTCTAATCTCCATCCTATGATCTCACTTAACTTGAATTAGTTCCTTAGAGGCTCAATCTCCAAATACAGCCACACTGAGGGTCAGGGCTCCAGCATATGCATTTGGGGAGGACACAAACATTAGACCTATAATAACCACGGGGTAACCAATCTGCCCTTTTCTCAACTCACAGGCCTTAAAAATGTTCTGGCAGGTCATTGACATCAAGCTCAGATTTTACTCTCTGGAACAACTTGATTATTTGGAAATTTTACTATGGACCCTCTCTTTTGGATCATATATCAACAAACAAAAAATAGTAAGTAATACCAATCCTAGAACCCTCAGGTCACCTGTTCCTACTGTTGGGGGAAAGGAGCAGTTTTCTATTTGCTAGTCCCAACTTGAAGTTGCCTGCCCATGAACCAGCCTAAAAGTTATCTGCAGCCCAAGGTGGGCAAACTCTGCAGGTCAGTTCTGGCACACGATGTCCTGGGTGCCAGCCTTTGCCCAGTGGCACTCCAGCAGGAGACTTCTAGATTGCCAGTCCCAGCCTGTGTTTGTCTCCAACCTCAGCCCAGCAAATGTGGAAAGGCTGTAGCTGCAAACACAGCTTCTCCAATAAGGCTGAAATCCCAACCTAGGGAGGTAACTAACTCTCCTTCCAAATATTTTCCTTCCTAGGGTATTCTCCCTCAGCTAGTGTCTTCTTAAAGGCTATCTCTCTTCTAAAAATCCCATATTAAAGATGGGTACATGTCATTATACATTGTCAAAATCTAGACTATGTAACACCAAGAGTTGCACACATAGAGAACATACTCTGGGTAATAATGATTTCTGAATGCAGGTCTATCAACTCTAACAAATATACCATTCTGGGGCAAAACATTGATCATGTGGAAGACTGTACATGTGCAGGGACAGAGACTTTATGGGAACTTTCTGTATTTTCTGTTCAGTTTTGCCATGAACCCAAAAATGCTCTTTAAAATATATTTTTAAAAAAGAATAAGAAAGTCTACTGAAAGGCTATTTTCTTCAATATGGCTATTTAAAAATTCAGCATACTTCAGTAGTATGTACCTCTTTAAAAGACTAGAAACAAATACATCAAAATGTAAACAACTATTAATTCTGAATGACCTACATCATTAACGTTTTTTTTAAAAATTTTGTTTGAACAGCAGAGACAGACAAGGATCTCTATCTGCTGGTATACTCCCCAAACGCCTGCAATAGCCAGAGTTGGACCACACTGAAGCCAGAAGCCAGGAACTCCATTAAGTCTCCCACATGAGGGCAGGGACCCAGGTCCCTAAGTCATCATCTGCTGCCTTCAAGGGCACATATTAGCAAAAAGCTAGATCAGAAGGAGGAGATGGGACTTGAAACAGGCACTCCAATATGGAACGTGGGTGCTCCCTACTGTGTCTTAACCACTGTACTAATATGACTTCTAAAAGGGAGTATAAGAAAAATGCATGAATGACTAAAAGATATTATAAATTTTTTAAATAGTATTTAATTTTTCTGCTGAAATCATTACTGAAGAGAATGAGCAAGTTTTTAAAATCATATATTACTTAGCTTTGGGAGTCCACTCCTAACACATTGCCACTTTAATCTCTAGATCTTGAGTGTCATTTGAATTTGACAGGAATGAAGCCCAAAAAGGCACTATCTGAAAACAAGTTTATAGAAGTAATATTTAATTTATAAAAGAGTTTAAAACATTTTCAGAGAAATTAAGGAATGGAGAAGACATAATAACCAAAGAAAATATTAGAAAAGCTTAAATGATTTAATTAATTAATTTATTTGAGAATGGACACAGATAGAGAATGAATCCCATTCATTGTTCACATCTCAAATGTCCACAATGGCTGAGACTGGGCAGGCTGAAGCTGAGAACTGGAAACTCAATTCTGGTCTCCCGCATGGGTCTCCCACATGGTCTCCCAATTACTTGATCTACCACTGCTACCTCCTATGGTCTGCATTAACAGGAAGCTGGAGTCAGCAGCCACAATCTGGAATCAAACCAAGGTAACCCGATGTAGAATTCAGGCTTAACTCCTAGGTCAATTGCCAGCTCTCCAAAAGTGATTCCTATGACATCTAACCGATAAAGTGATAATAAAATTTAATGACGAAGTCATTGTCAAAGAGACAGTGGTAGAACACTAAGACTGAATCTCTACACATCATACCTCATTTGAGAAATAGCATTTTAAATGACATAATTAATATTTAAGTCTCTAACTTGGCTCTCCAGTTTTTATACCTGGAGAGAATTATTTCGAGGTTGTTTCATCATCTAAGAAAATTTCTGAAAAAACATCCAGTTTGAAATATTCAGTTATGCAGGAAAGAAGAGAAAAAGGAGGAGTTTCCAAAAAATGGAAAAAAATCCTTCTCTATGCCCGAATACATATGTAGTGTTTGCTTGCATGGAGCCACAGCAGGCTCATAAATTCCCAGCAAATGACAGAACATGCATCTGGAAAATGGCTGCACACCAGATTCACTGTGTGGTGGCTGGAAGAAGACTCAGGCTGCTGAACTTCTCCTACCACAGGAAACTAAGTCATGAGGTGGAAAGCAGATTCTCTTTCAGGTTTCATCAAGGCAGTAGCATTTATTTGTGCAGATCGTGATGACTGAGGACTAACTAAAAACAACACAAGTTTATACATATATTGTTATGTGTGGTAGACACACATTTACTGATTAAAATTATTATGTAAACTTTGGGGGTTATCAGTTCTTACAATAAGAATTTAAAGTTAAGTGCATGATGTTTGAAGTTGCTGGTATGTATAGTAGGGGAAATAAGTGTTCTTGATGGTTAACATAATATAGAAAGTTTTCTTACACAAGAAGTTATAACATAGTAATAGTGCAATTTAGAAGAAAGAAAATCCATTGTCAGGGTGAACATTTAGCCCAGCAGTCAAGACAGTAGTTAAGATGCCTGCACTTCGCATTAGAGTACCTAGGTTGGATTCCTGGCTCTGGATCCTGACTCCAGCTTCCTGCTAATGCTGACCCAGGGAGGCAAAAGTGATGGTTCAATTAGATTCATTATCACACATGTGGGAGACCTGGATTAAGTTCTCAGCTCTTGACTTCAGCCTAGTTCAGTTACACCATTGTAAGCCTTTGGAAGGCAAACCAGCAGATGAGATATCTCTCACACTCTCTCCTTCTCAAATAAAAGTCTTCTTTTCATTTTACAGGTGTTTAAAATGGAATATATGTGCATGGTACCTCTCCAGCTTTGGATGGGTAACACAGTATACTCTAAAGGTTATTCCTACAAGGAAGTGCTAACTGGAGAGATAATGGAGTAAATACCTGTGCAGTGGAGGAAAAGCTGGAAATATTCTTCATTGTGTTGAAGATGGCAAAGTGGTTACCTGAGTAAATATCTACATAATCACATGGAGGAGAGCCAAATGCAGGAGTCCTCCTGCTAATCAGTATACTCACCTAGAATTGTTACATAAATAATAATTAATTATTTCAGTTAATCCACTGAAATTTGTTACTACCAACTAGTCCACTTTAACTAATACAGTCATATTTTAAGATGATTCTGTATATCAAGTTGGTTATGAGACTTGGAGATATTGATGGCTTGAAAATAAATAATAAATAAAAGCATATAATTAGATACTTGATCTGGTATTTCTTTTGGAGAAGAGTATGTTCACAAAAAAATGCTCCCGGAACATGATAGAGTCTAGAATTTAATATGCTATGCAAGGATTTTACTGACCAAGAGAATTTTTTTTGACTTTTAAAACATTACACTAAATAAACTCCCAAGGTCAACATACTTGTGGAATTGAATGAACCTGGTCTTCTATTTTTTACCAACCAATTTTCTTGGTTAGTAATGATTATGAAGGTACTTTGCTCTTCCCTACCATTAACTTCACTTGGATATGCATATTTAACAAATACATTCTAAACCATAGATGCAGATGAAAGTTGATATGCTCTGTTTATATCACATCCCATTTTGCCAGCAGTAACTTGCAGGCATTCATACTCATTTACTTAAAGTTACCTTCAGGGGCTTGCATTGTGGTGTAGCAGGTTCACTTCCAATATAGCTTGCTGCTAATGACCTGGGAAAAGCAACAGAAGATGGCCCAAGCGTTTGGACCCTTGCCACCCATATGGGAAACCTGGATGAAGCTCCTGGCTTCTGGCTTCGGCCTGGCCCAGCCCTGGACATTGTGGCCATCTGGGGAGTGGATTCGTGAATGGAAGATCTCTCTTTCTCTCTCTGTAAGGAGTGAAGGGAACTCATATGCTTGAGACAGGGGTAAGCTGGAGCATGCTGCAGGTAGAGTAGAAAACAACATTTTGGAGTAGCTGTTAAGGGATGACAAATGGAGTTAACAGGAATACATAAAAAGATTTTTAAAATATGTCTGGATTTGCCAGCGCTGCGGCTCAACAGGCTAATCCTCCACCTTGCAGCGCCGGCACACCAGGTTCTAGTCCCGGTTGGGGCACTGGATTCTGTCCCGGTTGCCCCTCTTCCAGGCCAGCTCTCTGCTGTGGCCAGGGAGTGCAGTGGAGGATGGCCCAAGTCCTTGGGCCCTGCACCCGCATGGGAGACCAGGAGAAGCACCTGGCTCCGGCTTCAGATCAGCGTGGTGCGCCAGCCGCAGTGGCCATCTGGGGGGTGAACCAACGGTAAAGGAAGACCTTTCTCTCTGTCTCTCTCTCTCTCTCACTGTCCGCTCTGCCTGTCCAAAAAAAATAAATAAATAAATAAATAAAGGTCTGGATTTGATTATGGCATGAAGTAGGAATCTCATTTTACTTTTGTTTTCGACTTAAATACTTTACATATGCCCTATTTGCTTGCATATTACTATTGCTCAATATTCGAGATACATCTTGGTTTAATTCCCTTTAAGATACTATGGGGGCCGGCGCTGTGGCTCAATAGGCTAATCCTCCGCCTTGCGGCGCCGGCACACCGGGTTCTAGTCCCGGTCGGGGCGCCGGATTCTGTCCCGGTTGCCCCTCTTCCAGGCCAGCTCTCTGCTGTGGCCCGGGAGTTCAGTGGAGGATGGCCCAAGTCCTTGGGCCCTGCACCCCATGGGAGACCAGGAGAAGCACCTGGCTCCTGCCATCGGATCAGCGTGGTGCGCCGGCCGCAGCGCGCCGGCCGCGGCCATTGGAGGGTGAACCAACGGCAAAAGGAAGACCTTTCCCTCTGTCTCTCTCTCTCACTGTCCATTCTGCCTGTCAAAAAAAAAAAAAAAAAAAAAAAAAGATACTATGGGGCTGGCACCATGGTATAGAGGGTAAAGCTTCCGCCTGCAGTGCCAGCATCCCATTTGTGTCCTGGTTCGAGTCCCAGCTGCTCCACTTCCAATCTAGCTCTCTGCTGTGGCCTGGGAAAGCAGTGGAAGATGGCCCAAGTTCTTGTGCCCCTGCATTCACATGGGAGACCCAGAACAAGCTCCTGGCTCCTGGCTGCAGATCGGTTCAGCCTTGCCCATTGCGGCCATTTGGGCAGTGAACCAGCAGATGGAAGACTGTCTCTCTCTCTCTCTCTCTCTCTCTGCCTCTCTGTAACTCAGTCTTTCAAATAAATTTTTAAAAAAATCTTTAAAAAACAAGATACTGAGCCGGCGCCGTGGCTCAATAGGCTAATCCTCCACCTTGCGGCGCCGGCACACCGGGTTCTAGTCCCGGTTGGGGCGCCGGATTCTGTCCCGGTTGCCCCTCTTCCAGGCCAGCTCTCTGCTATGGCCAGGGAGTGCAGTGGAGGATGGCCCAGGTGCTTGGGCCCTGCACCCCATGGGAGACCAGGAAAAGCACCTGGCTCCTGGCTCCTGCCAGGATCAGCGCGGTGCGCCGGCTGCAGCGGCGGCCATTGGAGGGTGAACCAACGGCAAAGGAAGACCTTTCTCTCTCTGTCTCTCTCTCTCACTGTCCACTCTGCCTGTCAAAAAAAAAAAAAAAAAAAAAAAAAAACAAGATACTATGATTGTTATGTATAGTCAATGTTTAAGACTGGCCCCATTTTTACTCATTCCTATCTACCACTGCTTTGTGATTTTCACCTTTTCTATTTATTTTTAAATCAGTTCTTCCTGATATGTACTTCTCAATAGTTTTTTCAACAATGATCTGAGAGTGGTAAACTCTATCCCTTAGGAAAATGAATTTTGCTCTCAATCCTAAATGATAATTTACCTACATATAGAACTCTAACCTGGCAGTTACTTTCTTTCTGCATTTTAAAGACAGGCAGATTCCCCTGTCCTCTAGGCTTCCATCAGCTGCCACTGATTGGTCTATATTTTCAGACCAACTATAGTCCCTTTGTGGGAAATGTATCCCGTTTATCCTTGATGTTACACTTTCACTACAATGTGACTAAATCTGAAGATTACTGTCTTTGCTCCTTTCTGGGAACTTCTCAGCCATTTTCTCTTTTTTTAAAAGATTTATTTATTTATTTGAAAGGCAGAGCTACAGAGAGAGGTCTTCCATCCACTGGTTCATTCCCCAAATGGCTGCAATGGCCAAAGCTTTGTCAATCTGAAGCCAGGAGCCAGGAGCTTCCTCCAGGTCTCCCACACTGGTGCAGGAGCCCAAGGACCTGGACCATCCTCCACTGCTTTCCTAGGCCATAGCAGAGACCTGGATCAGAAGTAGAGCTGCTGGGACTCGAATTGGGACCCATATAGGATGCCAGAATCGCAGGCGGTGGTTTTCCCCACTACACCACAGCACTGGCCCTGCCATTTTCTCTTATAATCAGTGCATTACCTCTCTCAGTCTCTTTATTCTTTCAGTCTAATAGACAAATTGTAGACTCAGCCTATTTTATGTCTCCTAAACTCTTTAATACTTGCCAATTCTTTACCTCTGTGTTACATTCTGTGCAGTTTCCTCAAATTATTTTTTAGTTTACTAATAGTCTATTCAGTTATGCTTTATAACCACTGAAGCTTATAATAGGTACATTTCATATTTCCAGAAGTTTTATTTTGCTGTTTTTCATACTGAGTTTTCATTGTCTTTCATCATTTTGAATATACTTCATTTACAGATTCAGCCAAATTATGCTATTATCAAACTGACAAGGATATAATCATTTAGATTAGTGACTCTAACTCACAGAACTTCACATATTTTGTCCTTTTGGACTGACTTCATCCTCATCTAGACCTTATCTGTAAGAACCACACAGAGGGGCCGGCACTGTGGCATAGTAAGCTAAGCCTCTGCCTGCAGTGCCGGCATCCCATATGGGTACCAGTTCACGTCCCAGCTGCTCCACTTCTGATCCATCTCTCTGCTATGGCCTGGGAAAGCAGTAGAGGATGACCCAAGTCCTTGGGCACCTGCACCCATGTGGGAGACCCAGAAGAAGCTCCTGGCTCCTGGTTTCAGATTGACCCAGCTCCAGCCATTGCAGCCATTTGGGGAGTGAACTAGCGGATGGAAGACCTTTCTCTCTCTCTCTCTCTCTCTCTCTCTCTCTCTCTCTAACTCGGCCTCTCAAACAAATAAATAAAATTTAAAAAAAGTAAATAAAAGAGAAAAAGAAAAAAAAAAGGACCACATAGAGCCAGTGCTCAGGGCATTTACCCCTCAAGGAAGATTTGCATTTCCTTCTTTCAGCTGCACCTACTATTTCTGTGCTTGGGTAATACACATTCTAACTCTGAACCCACATGAAATGGTAAGGAACCATGTTCATACATTCCAAGAGAGTCCCCTTTTCCACTCAACAGTTCAGAGATCTTCAGGTTTCTCTTATCATTAGCTTGTATAGGGAGTAGGATTTTTTTTTTTTTAAGCCTGTCCTTTTTGAGGATTCTGGCTTTAGGTAGGTGGTACCTAAATTCCAACTTCCTTGGACAAGACAGGTCTTGCCTTCAGTCCCCACACAGGAGTTAAAACCCAAGTCCCTAAAATCTCATAATGATTCCATTATTCCCCCATATATAGCTTCTATATAAGCTATAGCTCACACACTATTCTCGTTATTAGTCTCCTCTTTTTTTCTGCCCCTAGCAGTTTCCCTCAGTTTCTGGTAAGTACAGTGTGGTATTTTAAAAGTATGTTTAAGACTAATATGACAGATTACGTAGAGCGCTGTATTGCTAGTACCAGAAGTCTAAGTCATTTATTTTATGAAGTGAATATTCCACAAGTCATTTTGGAATATTTTCATTTTCATTTCATATCAAAGCCATTTACCTGACAGGATATATTTCAGCTAATAAAGACTGACAGATACTCATTATTAACTCTACAGTTTTTTCCTTAGAGCTAGGTGCACCAGCACATAATATGAAAGTTACATCTCTCAAGCTTTGTTGCAGTTAGACAGGAGCACTAAGTTTTTGTGGCGAGATGTAAATAAAATGGTTTTTGAAGTTCTCTGACTCTATACTGAGCATAGGTAAGTAAAGGCTAAATCACTATCTTAACTGAAGTCTCCTGATCCCAATCCAAATATTCTTTATTACACTTGGCTTGCTGTGAACTTGAAGCTGTTACAGATGGCAATCATAAGTAGAAATGCATAAAGGGATCATTATAAAGTGAAGACATGAGGGAAAAGAAATTTTCCCAAGCATAAGTTAAACAACAACATAAAGATCAACACTGATTTTGGACTAAGATGCAGTGCTGAATAAAGGAGTAAAAGCTTACTTAAAGAGGAAGGGGAAGACAATAATATAACCAGAAAATCCTGTTTAGTACACAAATGAACAGGCATTTTCTTTAATGTTACGTAGATAATACCATAAATAGAGCTTGTTTGACTTATTTTTAAAGACATTTTTCTCTATCACAAGGGTGTTTACACCACACAAAATAAAGTTACTCAAATTCTCAGTCTTTGGCACAACAATTAAAGATCAGTGAGATCTAATACTCTCCAGTTTAAACTTGCCTATCAAGTTTAAATAAAAAGAATTAAATCTGTATTGTATTATAAGTTTAGTGCATTTCCTATGTAAGTTAAATATTACATCATGGGTAAAAAAAAAAGTACTAATTAGATCAGATTACTAAGATTTATATATCTCTTAAGGAGTAGTAGCATAAAAAAAATGACCTAAATGAAAAATCTCTGTGAGATCCCAACGGAAAGAATGGGCCATCAAAGAAGCAGGTACCTTTCTCTGAAGGGAGGAGAGAACTTCCACTTTGATTATGGCCTTGTCTAAATAAGGTCGGAGTTGTGAACTCAAGAGGCTTCCACAGCCTTGGCAGCTAATGACAAGAGCCTTGGGTGATTACTGACGTCATAAATTAGAGTGTCAATTGTTAAATCAACAATGGGAGTCACTGTGCACCTACTCCCCATGTAGGATCTCTGTCCTTAATGTGTTGTACTATGCGAATTAATGGTAAAACTAGTACTCAAACAGTCTTTATACTTTGTGTGTCTATGTGGGTGCAAACTGTTGAAATCTTTTTTTTAAAGGATTTATTTATTTGAAAGTCAGAGTTACACAGAGACAGGAGAGGCAGAGAGAGAGAGAGAGAGAGAGAGAGAGAGGGAGGGAGGGAGGGTCTTCCAACCGACGGTTCACTCCCCAGATGGCCGCAACGGCCGGAGCTGGGCCAATCCGAAGCCAGGAGCCAGGAGCTTCCTCCTGGTCTCCCACATGGGTGCAGGGGCCCAAGGAGTTGGGCCATCTTCTACTGCTTTCCCAGCCCATAGCAGAGAGCTGGATTGGAAGTGGAGCAGCTAGGTCTCGAACCAGCGCCCAATGGGATGCCGGCACTTCAGGCCAGGGCGTTAACTCACTGCACCACAGCACCGGCCCCGAAATCTTCACTTAGTATATACCAAGTTGATCTTCTATATATAAAGATAATTAAAAATGAATCCTAATGAAGAATGTGATGGTTTTCGGGTGGGAGGGTATTTATGGGCAGAAAAACCACTATAATCCAAAAGTTGTACTTTCAAAATTTATATTTATTAAACAAAAGTTTTTTAAAAAAAGAAGGAATAGCAGAAAACAACTTAGTAAGTTAGTACAGCAAAAGTTGTGATCATATCAAAATACTAAATTTCTTGGGCAAGTTAATAATTCACTTTATAATTTCAAAATTCATATTTAAGTTTGCAAAAATAAAATATGATCAAATCAAGAGATACGGTTTTCTACATTTTTTCTTTTTTTGAATTCACGGTGGCTAATTCAAT